AGTGTTTTAAATTGTGGTACTGTTTTGTTCGTGTTCTTTTTTCTTATTTGTACCCCCCCCCCCCCCCGTCTTGGTTGTGGGGTGACATGAAGCCCCTCCGGGGAATAGGGCAGCATAGAAATATAATAAACTCAAACTCAACTCAAAAAGACATTCTTTAGGAAACCTCTGTGAGTGCCTAAGAGAAGGATAATTTTGTTTCATTTTGTTTATTCTGTGACTTTTTTTGTCTCAGTCAGCAAAGAGAAAGAAAATGCTGAGAAAAATTGCAGATTGCACAGGCTAGTTAACCCCTGCATAATATTGATTGAAGAGCAGACTGGTATCAAAGACTTGGTGAGGAAGCTGGCAATATATTTTCCTCCACCTTATTAAGTTTGTGTAACCCCAGAAACTGACACTGATCTCTATGTAAGTTTGAACTGCCTTTGGTGTGCATAATTTCACTTTAGAAGAGGAAAGAGAAGAAAGTCACAAGGGGGTCTTCTTTTATTTGATTTTACTGCTTCACTTGACCCGGAGGGTTTTGCACATTAAGAACATGCTAATGTCATGCACCAGAGTTGCACAATATTTGCAAAACCAAGATTAAGACAGACCACCAAGAGCTTAAAAATCACTTTTTTTTTTACTTTGTCCAGCACTGCAAGAATTTTTTTTCAATTAACTTCTGCCTAGATACAATTCATCGTATTTTGGAGGATGTAAGATGGATATATAAAGGTGCTATAGATTTCATTGCTATCTTCCTTCCAACAGGTAAGTATCCTTCTTGATTCCAGTACACATTCAAAAAGCAGATTGTTAGTTAAAGGTATTTTGAATGTCAAACCATTATTTGCGATTGCAATAGGTGACTTGGAAGGAACTTGCCTGCCTTAAGCCTTTTAAATGTATTTGTATAAATGATGCAGCTCAGTGAAATTGTTTCAAATGTTACGTATCCAATAGATCTATAATGCACAATTGGAAGCAAGTATTTACAATGGAGATATGAATACATTTGCCATTTCCTTACCTTCAAAAACTCTAAGAACCTCCTGTCTGACATATTTTTTCATTTCCTCAAATGAAATTGAATCAGCCTGAAGAAATAAAAAAATGAAAGAGATTAAGAAAAGATGGCTTGGGCCACAAACTCATCAAAACAAATAAAATTGTCTTCCTGTTTCTATTAAAAGCTCTGCAACAATAAAAGTTATAAATAGAATTCATGTAATGAAAATCTGCTAGCATCACTACCATCATAACCATAACCACCTGTCACCATATCATCAATGCTACTGCCTAGAAATACTTGTTTCTCAATGATTCTTTTAGAGTTTTATCCAACCAATGCAACCAATTCCAACTGCAATTTCTAAATATAATAATTGGATTTTCTTCTGGTGCAGAAAACATATACAAGCTGTTGTTTAATCTTTAAAATAGACTTAGAGCAGAAACCCAATTCATTATCTTTGCTCATGTTATGTCCTTCCCATTCGTGACCCGACAAATGTGCAAACGTCAAAAGCGCGCCGACAAAACCGCGGCGCTAAAACCGCGATGTCAAAAGCGCGCCGACAA